GTTGTTAATGTGGTAAGTCAACTCATAAGTACTTCAATTGAAAAACTTATGGAGGCAGTGTTTTTGATTCTCAAGAAATGACAGTTGACAAGAACAATTTTTCAATAAAACACCAATCATGAAATTGAATATATACTGATGCAGACTAGATTTTTTTATAATTGATAGAAGATCCACCTCTACATACTGTATATAATCTGAGGAAACCTAATTAGTTGGAGAAGTAAGAAAAAATCAGCAGTATCAAGGAATCGTACTAAGGCTGAATTTAGAGACTTAACACATGGTATCTGTGAAGAAATGGGACTACAAAAAGCATTGGATGAATTGAGAATTCTTTCTTCAGATTCTATAAAAGTGATCTTTAGTGATCAATCCAAAATAAACATTGCAAAGGAGTCGTTTCACTATGATTAAACTAAGCATGTGAAAATTGATAGACACTTTGTTAAAGAAAAGATAGAGTTAGGAACACTATCCTTGCAGTACATTTAGTTTTTCCATCAAATTGTGGATATTTTTACCAAATCGTCATCTAGGAAGACTTTTGAAGAATTAATTTTGAAACTTGGTTTACTCAACATCTTCAAACCACCTTGAGGGAGATACAAGAATCTAATTTCTTATAGAAATCAGCTACCTAAACGGATTGATAGTTTCAGGAAAATCTCCCTATAAAACTAATCATAGTCGACTACCATAACTAAAATTTTTTTGAGATACTATAACAAGAAGATCTTATCCTTTTATGGAACTAATTTATATTTAGTTTGCTACTCAAACTCTCTCTAATATTCTCTTATTTGTCGTATCATGAACAAAATTCTAAAAAGCAGAATATAATTTCAATGAAAAACCCTTAATATAGTGCATCTCTCAGCCAGAAAAAGATAGATTTATACCAACCTGTCCAAATAAAATTTTGTATGTAGCATAATTCTAACAATTCTGATCCAAATAAAACATTATCTGCTGCCTAGTCATAATCATTCTTATTGTCAATTAGTACCTTTTCTGAACCTGCCGACATTAATCTCTCTAAAACACTGAAAAGTGCATCTGTCAGATCATCACTATAAATTACATCAGCAGCAACGACCAGTGATGCTCCCTGAACTTCTTCGAACTCTGTGGAGGTCCAAGAATATCTGTATATAAACTTTTAAATATTTACTATCATCATAGAAACCAAATTGGACAATATCCCATAGCACAGTTGTCCGAAACAGATATCTGACTTTTTCAGGGATGCGATGTTGTCCGAAACAGATTTAGGAGGCCAAGGATCCATCCAATTGAGTTCACGCACATGAACAGCAGCTCGAGAATTAAACAATCCAGAATTGAGGCTAACATTCCTGGCACAGTAGTCAAGGATCTCATCCCCTTGGTCTGTCACAATTAGGAGAAAAATCTTGTTGACAAACTGAAATGAGGATGAAGTCAGCAATCAAGCCTCCATTGGTATTCAAGCAAAAGCAATTTAACACCCAAGTAGCTGGCATAAGAACTCTATAGTAAACAAACAAGGATAGACTTAAAGGTAATAATTCTATATTTACATTCACGCAATACCAGTTAGGAACACTGTCTGAGCAACACGAGCAAGCAGCATACCTACCAACCCTGGGTAAATGCAGCAAAATAAAGCACATTATAACATATGTATAATCATGTGACATGAGCTCCTTGGACAATAAAACGGCTAAGACAATAGTCTATGCAAATCTTGGGATTCATGCATCCACAAGTACATTGAAAGACAACTATAATTAGAAAACTGGAATTTTTTCTTATTCTTTGTTCCACTTATGCTCGAGGAAATATGATTGCGAATTTGTCAGTAAGTTTTATCAACTTCTTATAAGCTGATACTTTTATTCATATGCATGAAGATAAGAGTCTAAGATAATCTTGTTTGCTGATGTTTAACAAAAACTCTACACTTCATATTGTTGAATGTGTGAATTGTGAAAACATGCAGCTTAAGCTGCAACTTGTAATTATTGGTAAAATTTACAGCAAGCTTTCTCGGTCTTACCTGTCCAAAGATCTTAAATTGCTAGGAAATGATAATACATGCATGGGACTCAAACCATATAATATTTATATGGAAAACATAACACATGCGTAGAAAAAGGCACCAAAGTAGGTGGCAGATATTGTTTACCTGTTCCAGCACCAAGTTCTAATGACACAATTCCATCAAGTTCAGATGAAATGCACATTTTATGCAATACAAAATCAGATAATACTAATTCTGCTCTCCAAACCTAAAAGGCAAAAGTGAATAGATATCAGGATGTAGCATATACGCTGAACCAACATTTTTAGATAGCTGGGTTCACCTGCAAACCAACGTTAGGAATTGA